CAAAGAAAACTCTTATTAGGCACATGCCTAATACTTCTTCAATGAGATGGACATCATCATTAACAACCACAACTTGCCAATTCTAGAGTTTGTGAATACATATGACAACATAAAAAAGTTGTAATATCTATCGAGGTCGAGGAATGCAAAACATTTTGAAGATAAAAAGAAATGCTTACGTATGAAGAAACGAAGATGGGCTACTTATTTACACAAACAAATTAAGTGTACGTAAATGAATGTATTTCATTCACATGGACCCTAAAGTAGTTGAAAGAAAATATGAATTAATAACTCACTTCGAAACAAATGATTCTCCAAGCTCCCTCTTGGCATAAATTCGTATACTAACAGCCGGTTTTCACCTTCCAAGCAGAATCCAATGAGCTTGACCAAGTTTGGATGACGAAGTTGCCCAAGATAATTTACTTCTGACTATAGGAAGAAAACGATAAACATACATAATGAGGTGCCAGGAATAGAAAAAGAAATGTAGTTAGCAAACAACGTAACGTAACCCACCAGCCACTCCTTATGGCCCTGCAATCCTCGAGGCTTGAGCTTCTTTACTGCAACTACCAGTCCTGATCCAGGTCTTGAAGCAGTTAGTGTTTCCTCGCATAGCCATCCCTTATAAACATAACCAAATCCTCCTTCACCAAGAAGGCAATCGCGATGGAAATTGTTGGTGGCCTTTGCAAGTTCAGAGAGCAAAAGCGCTCTTAGATAAGGAGATGATAGTATTTCACTCTCAGACCTTGGACTTGGTACAATCCCTGTTCTCTTTTTCCCGGTAGAATTCTTGTCTGGAACAGGCAATGGGTGACTGGCATGTTCTGTCAGATTAAAACAAGTATATTTGGAAACATGTCAGTGTGGGAGAGGTTTGCATCTTATTTGGTAAAACATGAACAAAGTATGCAATTACAATTACTAGAGACATAATAACTCATATTTTCCAGATACAAAAAACTAATGATTATCCTCACTCTCTAAAATCTTGCATAACAAAATATCGATGGAACATAATCACATTTCTGAGTGGCTGTATATACGTATATTAAAGTCGTATATACCACAATTTGTTAGTAAATACAAAGAGAAAAGTCATAATCATAAACCGTCTTGAAACGAATTAAAATATGCACAGGCATTGGGATTTGCCAATACCAATTATTGAGGGGAGCCCAAGCTGACCCAACCCGACCACCATTTTATAAAAGAAAATATTGGAATTGCATGTTATCAAGAATGAAGAATAATACCACTGGTTCCTATTGAGTTGACAAACGTTAAAATTTCAGCTTTAGGGATTCCTGCGACTTTCTCACGCCTTTGAACGCAACAGGTGAACCAGTTGCCCATACCCACAAAATTTTAATCAAAATGTAGACAAAATTGGCTCTTTGTCCTCCATACCTACTGCAGGGGCACAAGGCAAATTAAGATGAAGAACAAGAAGAGCATTGAAACACCCCAAAATCTGGTTTGTTTTTGCTGAAACAGAGTTAATAATGAGAGGTTAGATGAACTAGACAAACCTGTGGTACAGGAGCCATTTGTCATAATATTCAATCAATGTTAATGTTAATTTACTATGTTAGTCCTTTGTATTTATTCTGACTTAATTCATTTACAAACTACTCCTATATACTAACGTAATATTCAATCATCTATGTTTCAAGTTCAAATTATATGGAGAGTTTGGTCATAAATGAAGTTAGAATGGCAATATTTGTGTGCACGAGGAAAATTGTGCACTATGTTCGGCCATTGGTTGTGCGATATTAACGCGAAGGGTCAAAGATGACTTGGATTGCATATCTGTTTGTTAGTTTAGTCTAGAAGCAGCTTGAATGTTTTTATACTGTTTGATAGATGCTAAAACCATGGAAAATGAGTGTTGTTGAGACATAACATAAATATACATAAATTATTATTTCCTTTTTTTGCAAAACCTTTTCTCTTTTTATCCAATAGGGCATAAAATAAGATGTTGAAATTGGAACTCCCAATTTCACTTCCAACTCTCACAATTCTAGCTAAATGATCGAAGAAGAAAGAAGGAAGAGGAAGCTTCGATGGAAATAATGTTCAGACAAATAGCAAAGTACAAAAGGAAATGTGATCCTATTGAGGCCTTTTCTTTGCCTCAGTAGGATTAGTAAGGTAAGGTTTAATCCGGTTTGAGTTGCTTTGATCCTATGCCTTTGGAAAAATATCCACATGGCTATGAGGTTATATGTCCTCGTGAGACTTTGCCGGCAGCTACACCATGAATCCTCTACATGAGGCTGCCATCATAAGGAAATGTGAGGCGCAGAGGAGTGATTATATAGCCAAGGTATATGGGTAACAATACCGGTGCTATTGTCCCCCTTATTTGTACTTTTCCTAATTGTTGTATTTTTCTTTTCTTTTATTAAAAAAGAAGAAGTACAAAAGACCAAACCCTTGGTCTCTAAAAGATTTGAGCAATCAAATGAGACCACGTGGCACAACCAAGACCCATGGATCATTAATCAAATCTTTTAATCAGGACGATAAAAATCACTGCTAGCTGCACAATCACAAAGAAGACAGGTGGGAAAACCTCCGTCTTTGGATCATGTACGGGTGGAGAATCACAGTCGTTGGATCAGCCCAACAGATTACAAAAACCAACTGATAAATTTGATAAAATTGTACAAATGGTACACTAGCTGTATATGTGCAGTAGCTGTATCAATACAAAATCTAACAAATAGAAAGTATTTATTTTTATTGTATTATTATTATATATAGTTCTCTTCTCTATATATTAGAAGAGAAAGTTTTTTCACATGTCTGCTTAGTATCTTTTTAAAAAAGCTTGAGGGTAATTCAATCATTTAGCATCAGCTCTATACCTTGGTTTTCTTCTCAGCCACCGCATCCTTTTCCCATCCAGTCCCAATATCTTCTCCATCCTTTTTTCCATGGATTCCAGAGCATTGGTATTTGCTCCATCAAGATAATCACAGGGTTACAAGGTTAGTTTCACTCTTCTGTTCTTTTCCTTCAACTATTGTTGGGTTTGGATTGTTTCCTCCAGTATCCAGCTAAATTAATTTAATTTAGCAGTTGAAACTCGATTTATTGTTGCAATTTGTATAATTCAGGCCCTTAAAATTTCTCGATTCCAATTTCGCTCTGCAATTTTTGTTGCAATGTTTGGGGTATTTCAAATTTGCATGTGCTTGTTAATCGATCTCTGTCCTTCAGATTTAGACTATAAACTTCATGTATGCCGGGAGATGAAGACGAGAAGTAGTACTTGGAACAAAAAAAGAGGTAAAAATTGCTACTCCTTATAGATAGCTATTTTGCATATGAATTATTTCCAGTAATGTTTGATTGAATGGTTTAGTTACATGAAAATCTAAGTTTTTTGGTGCGCTTCTTGAATTTATCCTTAAAAGATAAAAAACGGAAGTTTGCCAGCACAACTGAAGTCTGAGTAGTATTCTCGGTTTGTTAAAGTATCTGTTATTTTTATTTTACTATCTTAAAAATATACGCTCTCTAGCGACACCAATAATTATATAGATTCAAAATTGATGCAGAAAGGGGAAGTTCTCTACCTGAGAAAATCAAGTGTAATAATATTTTGGTGTTATGATTTTTATCCCAATTGGATGTACCTGTTGTATCCTAATGTGTATCTGTTTACCTTATTGTTCAACTTACCTGGGCTACTGTTTGTTGATTTTACTACGGGAATATAGTAAGTGATAATTTTGTTAATGTCTGAAAGTGAAGTTTTTGCAGCGACAATGCTTGGTGAACATGTTGATGAGATTTGAATTGTTGGGAGTATCTGCCATAACTATGTATCGGCATAAATTTCAACAGTTTCTACCACTGAATTTCTTTACAACAGAGGCATTTGAAATCTCCTTTGTAGGATCCATTCATTATTTCCTTAAAACGTTGATTAGATATCCTATTCAGTAGTTGTTACTGATATACGTGTAGGAAAAACCATAATTTTATAGAGCTTCGTTTCTATGAACTTCTTCGTGGCGCACCTACAAAACAAGTAATGAATGATGCAGAGTATTGATAAGTCGAGTCGAGCATAATGTAGCGATGGCGTAAAGTGGCTAATTTTCACCCCAATTTTTGGCGTTAAAAACTTCCAATCATGACCAAGTCTAAGGAACAGAGAAAATGATTCAAAAAGATCTTTATGTCTAAGGAAGGACATTGTTCTGGATATGTAAATTTATAAGTGTTAACCTATATGTGTACATCTTGTACATGTTTCTATGTTTTTTTTTTTTTTTT